GGCACCGGCGGCGGGGCCCCTGGGCGCCCCGGGTCGGTCCTTGGAGGCGTGAACGCGACGAGGGCGACACGGTCCCTTCCCTGCGGACGCCGCGGCGTCCTCCCTGTTTCTTCTTCGACATGTTAGCGATTCCGGCCTCGCACCCACCTGATGAAAGGATGACTGGGAATTTGCGGGGACTCGAAACCTCGAGTTGAAATACGAAATTGCGTGTTTTATTCGTCAGGGTCCCGGGCTCTAAGCATTTCATAGGCGGGCTGTCCAAGTTCCCCTGCGAGTGAGCCCGCTTCGTGTTTCCTCGCTTTGCAAATTAGCTGCGTTCGGTTAGGCGTCTCTTTAGGGTGTTGTCGCGTGAAAGAAATAGAAGCGTCGCAGCGACTCCAGTTCGGTGAAGAGGACTTACTCGTAAAGCATCATAAAGACAGTTTTCCCATGTTAGACGGCGCTTTACTCGGGCTCTTGTAAATGTGACTGGGGAGAGGAAGGCGGGGCAGCGGGAGATGGCGTTTACATTGGGAATTTGGGAGCCCTGATTTGTTTTGGCAGAAATATGTCTAAGAGGTTATTGACAGTGCATGATAGTGTATAATTAAAGTAACTGCTAATTATGTGTTTGTGGAGTTGAGGGAAGGGAAGATTACTGCTATATAGTATACTTTGAAGGCCCCATAATTGTTGGCATGTTACTATAATGGGGATGAGGCGTGGCCGTTTGGCCATTGCAGAAAGTGGCTCCTGCAAGTCAGAGAGAGAAATGTGTGATGTGGAAACAGGCTATTACGGCAGAGAAGTCACATCCGATTAATATCTTTAGTTGTAGGCTGAGGATTGCTTACCTGCTGATCCCTTTTATTAGCATAATAATGAAATATGTATTAAGCACCTGAGCACATTAGATTTTATGCATGACAGGTTTAAAAGGAAATTGTAATTACTACTCTTAAGAAACCTGCCCCCCTCCCCAAAGTGTGTATGTAAAATAAACAGAAGGCTCTATTACAGTTTAGGAGGTTCCTGGAATCCATTTTATTTGTAGGGAGAGGAGCAGGAACTAGAAAAGGGTAAGAATAAAAATGGGTCACTTAGGTGTCCTGGTCAGAGACAATAAGAGGAAGTACACTTATTAAATTGATCTATCTCATACTGAGAATCTAAATATCTGCACCAATAGTTGGAGAGGAATAGAGGTCAGAATTGTGTGTTTCTGGGACCATAAGTATACCTTTTTAAAAATAGCAACTTTTTGTTATCTACTGCTGCATAATGAATTACTCCAAAACTTAGAGGCTTAAAACAGAAGATATTTCCTTTTGTCTCCATCTGCCCCCCCTTTTTTAAAAATTGATTTCAAAGAGAGAGGAAAAGAGAGAGCAAATATATATATATATATATATCGATTTGTTGTTCCATTGACTGGTACACTCATTGGTTGCTTCTTGTATGTGCCCTGACCCGGGATCCAACCAACAACCTTGGCATATTGGGACAATACTCTAACCAACTGAGCTACCTGGCCAGGGCTCAATCTGTCTCTTACTAGAGAAATTTAATACATTCACATTTATTGTGGTATTTGTGTTTGATATGTTTGGTTCTGATTGCTTTTCTTTTAAAAAAAAGTTATTTTATTGAGTTTTTTACAGAGAGGAAGGGAGAGGGATAGAGAGTTAGAAACATCAATGATGAGAGAAACATTGATCAGCTGCCTCCTGCACACCCCCTACTGGGGATGTGCCTGCAACCAAGGTACATGCCCTTGACCGGAATCGAACCTGCGACCCTTCAGTCCGCAGGCTGTCTTCTATCCACTGAGCCAAACTGGCTAGGGCCTGATTGCTTTTCTTTGGTGGGGGTGATAAAATTTTCTTTTTTGCTTTTTTCCCCGTTTCTGTTTTGCTGTATTAATCAAGTTTTCTTTTTCCCTCTCCCCTCCCCTTAGAGATTTAGAAGTCCTGTTCCTCAATTATTTTTTCCCAAGAAATTGTACCTAGGTATTAGAGTTTCTAAGGGAAAACTCAAAATTCATGATTGTGACATAATTCCCATAATTTAGTTACGTTTGGAATCCTCAGTAATGATCCTTTTCTCCTAGAACTCTGTACTCCACAATATTTTGGTGTTGTTGGTGTTAGTCACATTCTCTTTTGCAGATAACCTTGGCAGGGTAAGGGGGACTTACATACTCTTAAAGGGTTTTCTCTTTATTTTTTAAATTTATCAATACCCAACTCAAGCTTTGGGAAAATTGTTTGAAAATGTTCATATTCACTTGTAGTGTTTGAAGCACTCATGTAATATGCATTGCTTCTATTAAGTAAAATGGTTGGGCAAGCAGGCTTTTCTTCTTCATGATCTCTTTCTTGTTTTCAATTTGTTCCTTTTACATGAAAGTCTGCTGTTATTTTTGGCAGTAAAATAGCGTGATGAGCAGTTTTGCCCAAAGGGAGGGGCTGTTATCAGAAAAGGTACGGAAGGTAGTTGCTGGGTACATAGACAATGGATGCCCACTACCGGGTAGTAAACATTTGAGAGATAGATGACCTCAAAGTAATACATTACAGTCAGTGGGCTTCCTTAAATTTCCCATGCCACACATTACCACCTCACCTGCTTCTCCTACAAAACTCTCATCTTTGGGCCACGAAGCTTATTCTATATAATGTAACCTTTAATGCTCTCACCACACGTAAGAAAAGTTGACTATGTGAGCTGATGGATGCGTTAACTAATCTTATTGTGGTAGTCAGTTCACAATATGTACATTAAACCATTACGTGTACGCCTTAAACTTATGCAGTGTACTAGATTGATCACATCTCAATAAAGCTAGAAGAAATACAATTACAGTAATTTAAAAAAAGAAATACCAGTTTTTACAACTTGGTTTTATATTTATAAAATTGTTGCTGATGATGTTTTGTGTAGGTACTGCATGGCAGCCCATAATATGCATTTGTGTGTTTTTCTCCTTTCTGTGTTAGGGTGACTGGGAATGTCCATCAGAAGCAGCAGCTCGGTTCCTGATGGCGTTTCACGTGCACTGACACGTGGTTTGTGATGGCATCCGAGGCTGAGAAGACCCAGGCTTTGCTCCAGTCTTGCAGCACTCAGTCTCTTCTTTCCAGCCTCGGTCTGGGGATCTTCTGCCTCGTAGCTGACAGACTTCTGCAGTTGTCCATAATCCAGCAAAATAACTGGATTCGCGCCCTCTCCGATAATGCAGTGCATGGTGTGATTGGCATGTGGTCCTGGGCAATAGTCATCGGAATCAAGAAGAAGACTGACGTGCGAGAAATCTTCCTCGCTGGGTTTTTAGCCTCAGTTATTGACGTAGACCACTTTTTACTGGCTAGGTCCCTGTCTTTAAAGGTAAGGAGCATATCTGTTTACTTTTCCTTTGATTTTGTTTGCACCATTACTAGTATATCCAACTTGCCAGCATCGTTTTAGTTAGAACTAGAGAAGATTGACCTTGCTTTAAAATAAGAAGGCCCAGCCCCGGCCGAGTGGTCCAGTTGGTTAGAGTGTCATCCAAAAGGTGGCAGGCTCGATTCCTGGTCAGGACACATACCTATGTTGCATGTTCAACCCCCAGTCCAGGCATGTACAGGAGGCAACTTACCAATGCTCTCCCTCCTCCCTCCTCCCTCTCCCCTCCTCCCTCCTCCTTCCTCCCTCCTCCCTTTTCTCTAAAACGTCAATAAAAACATATCCTCTGGTGAGGATTAAAAATTGTAAAATAAGAAAGCCCATTAATCCAACTGTTTTGACCACTACACACTTCCTGACGGTGTGCACAGACCATGGGGTCATTCTCAGGGCTGCCCCATCTCTTTCTGTGTTCGTGCGTTCTGTCTTCAGGACCATACTTACATTTCTCCCATATTCTTCATGTTTTATCGTTTAGCGTGCAGACCTGCATGCTCCCAGCGGTCGCCAGCCTGTGGTCCTCGGACCACTGGTGGTCCGTGAGGTCCGAAAGGTTGGCGACCGCTGGTGTACCGCTGCTCCAGAGCAGTTGAGCGGCTTGAAGATGAATCCAGGGTCTCCGTTGGGCATGCAGGAGGCAGCTGCGCTCTCACAGTGAGATGTTTCTCTCTTCTCCCTTCCTCTTTCTCTAAAACTTGGTAAACGATTTAAAAAACAAAGGTGATTCCATCCCTGGGGAGTGACTTTAATGGATTCATTCCCTGAGTCGCTCTTGGAGGCAAAGGTGAGCATTTCAGTGGGCTGATTAGGGCACAGTCCCCTGTGGAGAAATGGAGGCATTTCATTCAGGCGTCTGGGGTTTTCAGCCGTGGGCAAACTACGGCCCGCGGGCCAGCCGTTTAAAATGAATAAAACTAAAAAAAAAAAAAAAAAAAAAAAAAGACCGTACCCTTTTATGTAATGATGCTTAATTTGAATTTATATTAGTTCACACAAACACTCCATCCATGCTTTTGTTCCGGCCCTCCGGTCCAGTTTAAGAACCCATTGTGGCCCTCGAGTCAAAAAGTTTGCCCACCCCTGGTAGCCACATGGTGACTATTAGTCTTGCAAATGAACTAAACTTAAACTAGCAGTTCAGATCATATTTTCTCAGTGTCAACAGATTCGCCTACGTTTTACATGCTTATGATCTGTAAACATGTCGAGGAAAGAAATATAAACTCATAGAAAAGGACTTTGCTTGGCTCCCCCTGACTTTAGAACAGTTCCTG